GGCCCGACCCTGCTGAGCGCTGCCCGGCCCACGCACAGCCTCGGGAGCCCGGCGCCCACGAAGCCGCCGCACGCCGGAGAGGGTGAGGACCGCGCGACCGGCCACTTGGGAATCTCCTTTGAAAGGAGACTGCTTCGTAAGAAATACTTCTAAAAGAGAGCTGGGGGTATGTTATATTGGCGATATGTAACAGAATGCATATCTGAGTTGTAATTACAACTAGATAGGTTTATGTAACTAGATAAACGTGTAAAAAATGTTTCCAAAAGATAGCTGAGGATATGCTATACAGTATTGGTAATATATAATATAATGCATAACCAAGTTGTAAATAATTACTAGATAAACTTATGTACTAATGGTGATGATTATAGCTACCATTTATCAAGACCTCCCTTTGTGCCAAGCAGAGTGCTTTATAATCAGTACGTTTAATCATTTCATTCTCATAGCAATCCTTCAAGTAGATGCTCCTCTTATCTTCATATTACAGGTGAGGAAATGGAGAATTGGAGATTAAATAATTTGGTCAAGGTCTAAAGTTACAGGAAATTTAAGCAGGGGCCTCTCTGACAACTGGTCATGATCTTAACTAACCATTTTGCCATATTTTTTATTTATTTATTTTTTATTATTTTTTAAATTTATTTTTAATTTTTTAATTTTTTTTATTGTTTAAAATATTACAGATGGCCTTTTTTCTCTCCAATGACCCGTTCCACCCCGTTCCTTCCCCCTCCCCAGTCCCTCTCCCCACCATTGTCCATGTCCTTGGGTTGTGTGTATATGCACATAAATTCTTTGGTTACTCTCTCCCCCTCCACCCACTCGCCCTCCTCCATCCGCCTGACATTCATCAGTCTCATCTATGCTTCCATGTCGTTGAATGTATTCTGTTCATCAGTTTATTAAGTTCTTTAGATTCCACGTATAAGCGAGATCATGTGGTATTTGTCTTTCGCTGCCTGGCTTATTTCACTTAGCATAATATTCTCCAGGTCCATCCATACTGTCCCAAAGGGTGTGAGATTCTTCATATTACAGGTGAGGAAATGGAGAATTGGAGATTAAATAATTTGGTCAAGGTCTAAAGTTACAGGAAATTTTAGCAGGGGCCTCTCTGACAACTGATCATGATCTTAACTAACCATTTTGCCATATATTTTAAAAGAATCAGCAGCAATAATTGTTAAAAGTAGTAACTTTTGTTCTCTGTTGTAAAAGTTTGACTGTGTTATTTTACTTTCAAGATAAAGGGTTAAAAATAAGCAGTGTGATTATTTTAATCTGTTTAAAGACGAGCTCTTAATATTATTTACCAGAAATAAAATGGGAAAGAATTTTTGTTAATTGAATACAGTTGAGCTAAAGCACCCTAAAAGTCATTATACATTTCTGCATGCAGCATAAGCTCATTTTCTCAAGTTTTAGCATCTGTGGAAATAATGTAAACTGATTCAAATTAAAACATACTCTAGAGCAGAATAATTATGCTCTTTGATACCATTGATCTTCTTTGGGCATTTTCGTAGTAGTAGTGATGGATTTGATAGATATTACTATTCTCTCTTTTCCCCAAGTCTTTTTTTGTTTGTTTACTAAAAATATTTATTTTTGAAGACAGATTCACCACGGTAGTCACAAATTAACAAAATTTTAGGAAACACTGACTATTTCAATACCTGTGTTGGGTGCTAGGGGGATGTACTATATATAAGATATAGCAATTTGCTGTTTTGCTTCTAATTCTGACTCTTAACTTTCACACCAAAAGTAGTTTTTCAAATGGTAAAGCTTATATAAATTATGCAAAACTATCCAGTTCAACTTAGTAGACTTGTATAGAGTTCCTGTTATGTGCAGTACATGATACTATATGCCATGGGAGATAAGAGGATAAGTAAATCACACCTCTGTCCTTGAGGTGTTTTTAATCTAGAAGGGGAGAAAAGACCAACTGCTCAAAATAATAATTATATTTAAAGATGCTGATAATAAATAAGATACAAGCAGAACAGGATAAGTGATACATGAACTGTTATCTATGTCTGTGGGAGCACGGAGGACAGCTTGGGAGCTGGGTAAGGGCACCATCAAGGCTGAAATACTGGTCTGGGTGGGAAGGTGGGAGGAAAGATACTGAGCCCTTGTAATATACCCAGCACTGGGCTAGGAACATTTTCTTTTAATCTTCTTAGTTATTATTCTCTCTCTCTGGAAATCTAAGCCTTAGAGAGGTAAAAGTGACTTGTGTAGTCACATTCCTATTAAGTGGTGGGTGTAGTTTTCAAAACCTAGTTCTTCTTGACTCCATTGCCAATGCATAGTGTACTCTGCCATATTATTTATACTATGGAACAAGGACTAGAATTATATTCTGGGGACCTTTGCAAATAAAAGCCCATTGAAGGTTATTGAATTAGGAAGTTGCATGATCAGAGCCAAAATTTTAGGAAGATATTCTCAGACCAGAGAACAGTTTTTAAGAGGAACTGGGACTGTTGGGCAGGGGTGATGATAGGGAGGGATTCTGAGGATCATTCAGAAGTCTCAAGTTTCAGATACTGGAGCTACAAAAGTACATATACAACAAATTTTAAACCTAAATATCCCATTTTCTTATGTTTTATGCTAGTATCCCATTTTCTCTCGTGTATTCTTCGCACAGTCTGTTCAGAGCATAGTTACTATTTCAGGGATGCTAAGCTTGCCCTCCTTGCTTCCCTTCCCTTACTGGCAGCTCTCTCATTCCTGCCTCAAGTTTTCTAGCTACAGATTCCAATCTTTTTGTTTGTTTGTTTGTTTTTTTGATGCAGAAAGCTTTGTTTTTTCCATTTGGTCCAATGCATGGGAGAGGGCTCCAGGGTGGTTAAAAGAATGGCCAGTGGTTTCAGGGAGAGGCTCAAGCAGAAGCCAGACACCAGGGGAATGCAGTGGGGCCCCTCAGAGGCCTCTGGGCTCCAAAGGCTCCTAGTTGTGCTTGAGCCTTTCAAAGAGATACTCCCCTGCTGCCTCCTGCATGCCCCTGCCAGGGATTGAGCCCACAACCCGGGCATGTGCCCTGACTGGGAATCGAACCACGATCTCCTGGATCCTAGGTCGATGCTCAACCGCTGAGCCATGCCAGCCAGGCTCTCCACCTTCTTGACCTAATAAAATAGGAGACTCTGAGGACCTCACTTTTCTGCAGGAGTCTCCACACTTTTGTTTGCACACTCCTGTTGGTTTTTTTCACTTATTATTTATCTATTATATGTATGTTTCTGCTAGTATTTATGCACATCATAAAATATAAACAGAATTTTAAAAAGGAAGCAGACATCACTTTAAAATGTCTTGCTAATGGTCATGGCTTCATACTACCATTAGCTAATATCTTAAGACAGTGTGCCCATTTAGGGCCTTCTGTTTTCAGAAGTGAGTGTACATCCATATATCAAAAGGCCAGTTTTTTTGTGGAAGACTTCTTGTCATGTATTGTTTCTGTGAAAGAACACCCAGCCTCCCTCCAAAAAGTATTATAAGAGTTTATTTAAGCCAGTTGATGACAGTTGCCAGGAAGCAAAATTTCAAGGGATTGAGAAAATGCTCGAGAGAATGGCAGTTCTACAGCTTATTTTATGTTAGAATCAAACGAAGAAATGTAAGGAGGGTTTCATGAAATTCACTGGTGGTAGATTAGGGAGGTGGGAGAAAGTAAAGTGTGGTAATCGCTGAGATTGGATAAAAAATAAAACCAGAGAGACACATACTTTTACATTGGTGGGTGCAGGATAGTTAACATTTACAGCACACAGAGATGATATGTGGGCAACAGGATAATAATGTAGTCTTGTGCTCTGGTACCAGGGGTTGTGCCTTCTAGGGGTCTGGAAAAGAAGATTACTCTGACATTTCTAAGGTATGTTATCTTAGATGCACAGAGGCAACAGACAACTTGAAAATTAAAGATTGACCTTTGTCAAGGAAGCTATAAGCTTAGGTTTTGACTACCCTGCTTTTAGTTAGGAATTTTTACGTTCAGAGCAGCTTGTGTAGTTACTTTGGTCTCTAAGTTAGTAAGGCCTGCCATGTAGGCCTCCCCCTGAGTTCATCAGGTTTAGTATGTGGCCCTTGTTTTGTCCACAATTGTTATTGTTTTTTATCTTACAATATGGCTGGAGATGTCCTTGTATGGGAACAGGAGAAGGGTCAGCCCAGCCGTTTTTGAAATGTCTATTAGAATTATCTTTATTTTTAATTCATGATTTTTTCCAGGAATATTTTAAGCCTTCCATATATTTTAGGTTCAGTTTAAACTGCACAATATAATTTAAAAATTTATTTGACTGGGTTTATGTATCAGGCAATGAGTTAGTGCTGTCAACTTCTCCATGTTCTGAAACTCCCAATCTTTCCTTAAAATACCTCTTTCACCCACGTAGGGTTCAAGTGATGGTGTAAGTGGAATCTGCATATTAAAAATGGGCAAAATTTCATTTACTTCTTATTAAATTTAGATAAATATAAATAGAAGTCCTTATATTTTCTTTCCAGACTCCCAGAGTACCACTGCTGTAGTTCAGTAGTTTAAGAAAAATTTATTGGCTGCCTGTTTTGTATCGTCATAGGGTTAAATTCTCAGTGTACGAAAATGAATAAGATCTGAATTTTACAGTCTGTAAAGCAGAAGATAGACACATTTAATAAGATGTATCCATATAATCTAGTAGGGACAAAACATATTAATGCAGTGTAACTTGTAACTTGTGGGTTTGGAAAGGCTTCCTGGAAAAGATAATGTCTGAATTTTGAAGAAATAGTAATGGTTAGTGTAGTGAAGAGAGGTGGGGAAGATATTTCATATAATCAAAATGTGACAGTATGAAATAACATGTAGTATTCAGTGGCCTTCAAGTTGCCTCGTAGTCCTAGAGTATGAAGGAAGAGAACTGAAGTCAGGGGTGTAGATAAGAGCCGTGTCCACATGTGCCAAAGAGCCTGGACTCCATTCAGGTGGCACTGGGAAGCCAATAAACCTTCATAATGGGGAGTCAGATTTGTAATTTAGGTAAATCCCTCTAGCTACAACGTGAAAAGTCTCTATAACCAAATTACTGTGGGTAGGTATGAGAACGAGTAGTAGATTGAAGTACATGTGAGACTTTAACATATGATGAGGATAACTCAATTCAGTGAGAAAAGAATAAATTATTTAATGAAGAAAATAAAAGATGATCACCATAGTTTTAAAAAATGTATCTTTATTGTTGAAAGTATTATAGATGTCCCCTTCCCCCTACCCCTTCTATCCCTTCCCACCCCCATCCCAGGCCTTCACCACGCTATTGTCTGTGTCCATGACTTATGCATATGTGCATATAAGTTCTTTGGTTAATCTGTTTCCATTCACCCCCCCCACCCCCACCCCTGCCTTCCCTGTGAGAATTGTCAGTCTGTTCCATACACCTATGTCTCTGGATTTGTTTTGTTCATCAGTTTATTTTGTTCTTTAGATTCCACATATGAGTGAGATCATGTGATAATTGTCTTTCTCTGACTGGCTTAGCATAATATTCTCTAGGTCCCTCCATGCTGTCTCAAAGGGTAAGAGATCCTTCTTTTTTACAGCTGCATAGTATTCCATGGTGTAAATGTACCACAGCTTTTTTACCCACTCATCTACTGATGGGTACTTGGGCATCTTATTTTTAAAAACTTATTTAACATTTGTGCATACTTAGTATATATAAACACTTATATACACATATAAGCTAAATTCAAAAATTAATTATAGAAAGAACAAATATTTAAATTTAAAAAAAGAGCAATAAAAATCTTGCAAGAAAAGGTAGAAGATTACATGCACAATCTAGGGGTTAGAAAGTGATTTTTCTTAATTTATTGATTTCAGAGAGAGAGAGGAAGGGCTCGGTGAAGAGGGGGTGGGGTGGAGAGAGAAACATCGATTTGCTATTCAACCCATTCATTTATTCATTGGTTGATTCTTCTGTGTGCCCTGACTGGGGATGGAACTTTCAACCTTGGCATATTGGGACAACGCTTTAACCAACTGAGCCGCCCAGCCAGGGTGGAAAGTGCTTCTTAACCAATGCTGAAAAGAAGAGAGAAACATATTTGATTATTGTATATGAAAATTAATGTAATGTCTAGGCAAAAGACACTATAAACTAAGCCAATTAACAATAGTTCTGGGAAAAATATTAAAGCATGTGGCATAATAAGGATTACATCTATAATATGCCAGTTGGGTTCTCTGAGAAGCATGTGAAGTTAGACGTACAAAAGATTTATTAGAAAGTAACACACATAGAGGGGAAAGGGAGGAACACAATTGGGCAGGAGCCTAGATACAGATCTGACAAAATCTCAGCCAGCCCAAGGGGAAGCTTTGGAGCAATAATTGCCTGTTGGAGGAGTCCTGCTGTGGTGGAAATGGCTAGGGCCCATTGGCTGGAAATTGCCCAGGGAAGAGAAGAGCTTGCCTTCAGCTATCAATGCCTCACTCATTCATTGGCAAGGGGCTGCCCCCAGAAGAATATGATCTTGGTTTAAAAGTTGAGATAGACTCTGAACAATCAAATAGCTGAAGGCTGCCAGTGAAACAACCATATGCCTCACAGCTGGAGAGTGAATTCTTTATTGAAGCAGGACCTGAATGTGGCATCTTCATGTTTACCACAGAACTCTTAGAAACTGAAAAGAAAAAGGCATTCAATCCAATGGAAACTTAGGCAAAACCCATGTATAGACAATTTACTGAAGATTAAGTACAAATGGCAAAGAAACATTTGAAAGAATGCTTAGTAATCTGGAAAGTGAAAAAATAACAGTGGAATATAGTTTTATACCTATAAGATGAGCAGAAATTATTATAAATCTGTTAAGGTGGAGTGTGAGGTGTGATTTTTGGAGAAACCTATCTAGCATTATCTATTAAAATTAAAAATACATATACCTTTAGACCCCCAAATTCTCCTGGAAGTCTATGTGATGGAAATTAAACAACTGGTTCATAAAGACATGTACAAAAATGATTATTATAACAATGTTTGTAGTGGTGAAAAAGTACAGAAATAAATTGTATTCCCCAAATAGGGCAATGCCCCAATAAATTACGTTATATCCATACCATGGAATATTATGCATTTATCTAAAAAAAATGAATTAGTAGGTATTGTAAATGAGATGGTGGGATTCTTACCAAGTATTGAGTGAGAAAAGGAAGATTATGTATAAAAACATTTCCACTCCCCCTACTTTTTTTTGGTAAATCAAACGATGACAGAAACACACTCTGTTTATATGTGTATATATATACACATATATGAATGTAGACCAAAGCTGAAAAGGTCCATAATAGGTTAACTTGAGTTACCTTGCCAGGAGTGGGAGGGTTGATGTGGGTGGAGGAGAGAAATGTGCAAGATATATAAAAGAAGATAAGAAAAAAGTGTACCAAAAAAAACCATGCATATATTTATGCTATCATTTCTAAACCTAATAAGAAAGGCAGAATCAGGGGCAGCTTGCAAGGAAAGAAAAAAAAAAAATCACAGAAATGGAAATAACTTTGCACACTTTTACTGGATATATAAAAATTTTTAGTGTTAACTGGTTTAGTAAATGTTTATTTGCTATATAAATTAACAGTATCTGACTATTCGAACTAATTGCATGGCTGTGAAATACATAGGGCTTTTAGTAAATTTATGTACCTATATCAGTCAGGAGAGGCTAGGTTATACTACAGTAATGAATGACCCTCCCAAGCCTGAGGGGTTTACCAGAAGTATTACGAGGAGAGGCAGCTGTAGCCATGGTGAGCTATAGGAGTCAGGTGAGGGTAGGAATTGTGGGATTCACACAGGGGTAATGACAGCAAATGGTAGCAATCTAGCTTTCACCAGGCCTTCGGTGTCAAATGAACATTTTTTTTAAAGACAGGAAACTTTTTTTGGAAAAAGTTTTGGAAAGCAGATAAACTTATATTGTGCTTAACAAAAGACCTGTACACCTGAAAACTTACTGGGAACAAAAAAGGGATTACAAAAGAGACCATACTTTACCCTTGTCATTCATGTATATGTGAATGGGCTGGACTGTTTGTTTTTAAAAGACATTTGCCCTGCGCGCTCAGACTGTTCCCAATTGGCCTAGGGATCCTGATAGTGTACCTTAGCTTCAGGATCTCTCTCTCTAAATATATATATATGTCATTTGTTAGTCCTCACCTGAGGATCTTTTTTCCAGTGAGAGACAGGGGAAACATCAGTGTGAGAGAGAGACATCGATTGGTTGCCTCTCACCCTCACCAGGGTGAGGATCGAGCCTGCAACCAAGGTATGTGCCCTTGACTGGAGTGGAACCCACGACCCTTCAGTCCGAGGGCCGACTCTCTAACCACTAAGCCAAACTGGCCAGGACAACCCTTGTCTTATATTTTAATTTAGAACATGCATTACGATTTTGTGTTTGTTTAAGTACTATTACTTTCTGCTTCTTTCTCTCAAAGTATTTGAGGTAGAATGCAACAAAGTCATATTAATAAGTTTAACAAAAAATAGGTATGAGTCATACATTATGAGGGAAAAAGTATTAGAGAAAGAAATATGACTTTGTATTTTCTTCCTATGGGTCCTATGATTCTGAAAAGTATTAATAAACTTCATGTCTTGACAAAAATTGGAGGAAAAACTCCCTCACATGCAGGTGAATTAGATTTGGGGTATGAACTTGGGATGGGGGAGAAGAGAAGAAACCTACCTCGTATTAACTCCTGCATTGCAAGTGTCATGCATGGGGAGCTGACTTGAAGAGGTTTTTATTATAACTTCACACCTGGAAGAGATCCAAGTTATCAAATAAAATAGAGAAAGAAGAGAAACAAGTTTTCTTGGGGGCTCATTGTGCCATTCCAGTGGTACTTTTCACAATGCCTCTGTGGCTTATGCGTTGGTGGGGAACATAACCTTGACATGAGCCTCCAACTCCAGGATCCATATCAAAGGAAGTTAATACACAAATCAACATGGACTGTCTGGGTTTTGTTTGTTTTTTGTAATCCTGACT